AAAAAAGGAAATGAACATGGTTCAATATATACCCTCACAATTTTATCAAAAAGTTCCTGACTGCTCAACCCAACCCAACACAACCAAGCTATGACAATGATAACACTGCCATTCAGTTGGTCAGAAATAACCAACTATTAACACCACACCACATCATTGTATCACACAAACCAACTAAAAGCCCTCCAAAATATCTTAAACAAATTAAAAGACTCAAGTGGCCCACCAACACTCACAGGGCAAATTACAGTATATAAAGAGACAGTAAAGCTCATTCCTTTCTAGCACTGAAGATGTTACCTTCTGCAAACATACAACAAGGTTCATAAAGCACCAAGGGCTCCACAGTTCAACCCAGACCTATTTAATAGACAATTCAAATATTATGATCATACAAACATGAATTAAGATTTTTGTGTATATTTTTTCCCAAATAAAAACTGCAGAGAAGCACTGCATCAGCAGGTGGGGCATGGCACACTTTGGGCATTTATTTATTACATTTCTAAATTGCTGTAAACAAACAGCTTTTTATATCACTTTTCATACAATAAAGGAACCTATGGTATGAATTCATAGGATTACTAATTATTTGTTAGTGGTTATAATCCTAAACATGATGCTAAGAAACCTATCTTGGTAACTTAATAAGAAAAATGGGTTTTTATATAATGAGATTATAGATCAGAATTTAATTCATTTACTAGTCCAAATAAAAACTGCAGTCCAACAACATGACATCTTTCACACATCTAGAAAACTACCCAGAGTGTCTAGTTGCCCGTCAATAATGGAACAGTTCCTAAGTTTATATGCAATTCTAGTAAATAGATCTCAATCATAACAACATCATTTTATAATATTCAGAAGAGCTGAAAACATAAAATTTGGCAAAATTTAATATGGCAAAATATATTTATATAATTACGGTGCATAATATAGAGTCACCTATCTTTCTCTTTATCCTTGGAGAGGTTATTCACTCTTACCCATGTGACTCTGATTTGGCAACTCACTGCAAATGATTAATATATTACCAGCTTATAAATATCTTCATCTACAACAATACCCGAAAGTTAACCCCAAAGTGGAAAGAACATGTATTCTATTAAACTGCATCAGAGGTGCTCACTTTCTGCCAGCAGAAATAAAATTTTATGGGATGAGGTGCAACTGGAGAGGGAATATAAGCCTACAGATCAGTCCCCAGAGAGCATGTAGTCATTTCTCAGATCAAGGGCAAATCCAACAAAGATTGATTCATTTAAGCTATTCGATAATTGGATGATTATAAAGCAAGGCAAAGCAGCTACCTAACTCTGGTTCTCTCCCATTCAGAAGGAGAGGAGAAGCAAAACAAAGATTTTTCTTAAGCAAGTTATTGTTTAGTTGGGAGAAATTCATAGCACTCTTTGAGGAGCTACAGAAATTTTCCTCAGGCTACCAATCAACTTGTGAAATGACAAATTAAAACTGTTATTCTAATAAGAGACCAAATGCTAATGAAGCTGAGGGGCTAAGACATTTGAATCTCAATTATTGCCCAAAGTATAAAGCAGTAGAAGAAATAAACATATATCCTGCTACACAATTTGGACAAATTAAATCTATATAATAATAAAATTTTCATATCTGTTTATAAGCTTCACTTGGGCTAAAGGCTGCATCATAGGGCAACAACCTATGATGTACCTACCAAGGTACTTCAGATGAGCTAATTTACAGAACACATTCATACTCTGTGATTCATTACTCCCAGGAGATTGAAAATTTGAAAAGTTATGGCCACTTCAATGCCGCCATGCTTCCATGGTCAGCTACGGTCACATGCTTATCGTTTCCAAGATTCTCTAGCTGCTTTGCACAAGGAAAATCAACAAGGAAGCTTGGAAAAAGTCATAAGTCCCATGCTGGCAGGTAGGCAAATAGCTGCTGCCAAGTGAGGGGACAGTGAAGGGGTGCACGGGGTTGCAGGGGAGATGCTGCGTTCATTGGAGAGGATGTGCAGTGGTATGTGAGAGGCACCGTATGGATTGCACCAGGGTGTGTGAGAGATATTTCATGGATTGAGGAATTTAAGTGGAGCTGTGACAGTTAGTGCAAGGGTGTGAGGGAGGTGCAGTGAGAGTCAGGGAGGGTGAGTGAGTGGTAGGTAAATATTTCTAAAGAGATAACCCAATAGGTCATAGATTATCTAAATTCCTTCACAAATAGCAATAGCACTTAAACTTATATGCTGTTTCACAGTGCTTTACAGCCCTCTCTAAGCAGTTTACAGAGTTAGCATATTGTCCCCAGGAATCTGGGTCCTCATTTTACTGATCCCAGAAGGATGGAAGGCTGAGTCAACCTTGAGCCGGTGAGACTCAAATTGCTCACAGTTGGCAGAATTAGCCTGCAATACTGTATTCTAACCACTGCACCACCATGGCATGGGCAAACATATATTTGATCTTATAGCAAAATATTGTGTAAAAGTGCATATATGTCCATTTTAATAAAATTCTCTTTGTCAATACTAACAGATCAAAAATGAGACACAAGCCTTGCGCACAGTCACTCGTGCTCTGGTCACCTCCCACCTGGACTACTGTAATGCTCTCTACATGGGGCTTCCCTTGAGGAGCACCCGGAGGCTCCAGCTAGTCCAAAATGCGGCCACGCGGGCGGTGTTGGGAGGGACTCGTCGCTCCCACGTAGCGCCGCTGCTGCGCGAGCTGCATTGGCTGCCGGTGGCCTTCCGGGTGCGCTTCAAGGTGCTGACTATCATCTTTAAGGCGCTCCATGGCAGCGGACCGGGATACCTTCGAGACCGCCTCCTGCCACAGATTACCTCCCATCGGCCTGTACGCTCCCACAGGGTGGGTCTCCTCAGGGTGCCGTCGGCCAGACAGTGCCGNTTAGACAATATTTAAATATTTCTTTTTAACTAATTTTAAATTTTGTAATTGTTTTTGGTGTATTTTTAAATTGATTGTCAGCCGCCCTGAGTCCGCAAGGAGAAGGGCGGGATATAAATTCAATAAATAATAATAATAATAATAATAATAATAATAATAATAATAATAATAATAATAATAATAATAATAATAATAATAAATCAGTTTTTAAGTATGAGAAAACAGTGATGTCTCAGACTGCTGGAAATACCTTGTGGATTTCCTTCTTCAACTGTACCCTTCCTTCTTGGCTCACAATAATCTTACCTTGCTATGACATTCAAATTGGGGAAAGCAAAGCTTAATCCTTCTAGGCATAGTTTGTTCCATATTAAAATTAGAAATTCAGGGTGCCCCAAGATACTTTGCAATCTCAGACAAAGAACAAGATGTCTTTCCTCCATTCCATATACAGAAACTAACTGGAATAGAAGAGCTGAGTAGCCATAAATGTTGAGTCTTGTACTTCATAGGTTTGTAGAAATGATTGCTCTGGGTGGTTATGAAGCATGTCATTTTTAACCATTGCTCCTACCTACTCAAAAGCTAGATGAACACCTTACTCATAAGAAATAAACTGGGAAAGGAAAGTTTCCTTAAATAGACCCTTGTGCCAAAATACAATATTTGCAAAGGGGAGCAAATTTTCCAAAAAATTAAGCAAAGCAAAGATTCATGACAGTACTGAGGATGAGGTAGAAGCTTGTTTCACATCATTACAAATTGAATAAATGAAATGAAATTAATGCCATACTGAAAGTAATACCTGACTGGAATTCAAACTCAGATCATACAACTTCCATAACAAAAGCGAATGTGTTGTGAAAGAGCTAAATTTTCCCAAAAGTGGAACATATTTTTGAAAACCTCTCATTTTGGAGAAACATATTGAAAAGAACATATTATAAACTGTGATCAACAAATGTAAAGCAATGTTTTGATCTGAAGATCCTCTAACTGAATTTCTTGCTGCATCCACAAGCATTTATTAGCAAATTGTTTCACAACAACAAAGTAATCCAGTCTCTGGAAAACTGGATAATCTTTCCTGAAAGCAGATGGAGCATCAGATGGCAGATTAACAGCCAACCCCAACCAGCAGAACTAGTAATTATACGTACTGTATATTAGCACACAACTGTATATTAGCACACAACTCACTGCTGACTCCAGGACTTCGATTCATAACGGCTCAAGGTTGACTCAGCCTTCCATCCTTCCGAGGTCAGTAAAATGAGCACCAGACGGTTGGGGGCAATATGATGACTCTGTAAACCGCTTAGAAAGGCCTGTAAAGCACTATAAAGCGGTATATAAGTCTAAGTGCTGTTGCTATATACTTCATTGGACTGCTCACATGTGCTCTTTGAAGTCTGTGAATTAACCATTTTTCAAAAGGGGGCAAATAAGACTTTTAATACATTTGAACAAATTTGCTTCTTCTATTAGTTACATTTCACACACACACACACGCACACACACACGGGTGTGAGTATTTGTGTGTGGTTATTAAAGCTATTTTTGAAAAAGGTATTTTATAACATGAAGGGAGCACAGATAAACCAGCTATATTCAAACCACAACTTTTCCAATTGCCAGCCTGGAAAATATGTTTTATACTTAAATATGCTTTAATGGTCCAAGCAGTATTTTTTACAAGGTCCCACGCTGTAACATTTTTTGAAAGTTTGGACAGCCCTTATATTTGTTAACCAGTTAATGTAAACTCTAAAGTTTCAAAAATGGAAATATCTGAAAATTGCTGAAATTAATTTTTGTATTAATATTATCATTATAGCATATATATGGCTGCTCAATCAACATCATGTGACTATGAGTAGCCATTCATTCTTTCATAAATACATATATACATATCAAAGACACAAATATAAGGAATACTTTTGTTTGTACATTTAAGTAATGTTCATTCTCTATATCCTTCTTCATGGGTCTAAACCCAATAACAGGCCCATAAAATGGATCCAGCCAATCTCTTCTGAGTAAAGAAATACGAATAGTTTGATTGCCTGAGTGGCTAGCAATAAAATGAAATTACAGTACCTTTGCAGGTAAAGCATTTGATGTGAAAATGTTTGGCCTGGACTCGAAGCACTTCTCCTTTACATTGCTCCCCACATTTGTGGCAGTGAATTACAGGCTTCTCTGTGGGGTGATGAGGCTCCTGAGGATGGGCCACTGGAAAAACAAATTTTGTATATTAAATTACACATTTTTCTACTTTTTATAAATGATCGTCAAAATAAGACATATTTTAAAAAACAACAAATACTCTATAATGCTGTTTGGAGAGCTATGAAAATCATACTGTGTGATATTCCAAAATCACTTTCTCCTACCAGATCAAACCATAACATCCTAACAATTGGGCTTGGAAAATTATATTTTCTGTGACATTAAACCACCTGTACATAACCTTCAATCTAATTTTAAAAGCCTTCTGCATGAGATTACTTCTGAATTATAGGTGGAGATAAGGAGATGTAGAGAGAAACAGAAAGGGCAGCCATTAACTGTTGTCTGTAGTCCTACTCACTTCTGGCTTCTACAGTGCCCACTCTCTGCGAGCATCCATAAGAGCTGACTTTTTATGCTCTAGCAAAGGCTTGTCCAACCCATGGCCCGTGGCCCACATGCAATCCTGGACAGCTAGTAATGTGGCCCCACAAGATCATAAACCTTTAACATTATGTGGTTTATATACAGTGAGGGGAAAAATTATTTGATCCCCTGATTTTGTACATTTGCTCACTGATAAAGAAAGGATCAATCTATAATTTTAATGGTCTTGGCTATGGTGGAGAGTTTGGAATCTGATTGATTGCTTCTGTGGACAGGTGTCTTTTATACAGGTAACAAGCTGAGATTAGAAGCACTCCCTTTAAGAGAGTGCTCCTAATCTCAGCTCATTACCTGTATAAAAGACACCTGGTAGCCAGAAATCTTACTGATTGATAGGGGATCAAATACTTATTTAACTCATTAAAATGCAAATCAATGTATAACTTTTTTGAAATGAGTTTTTCTCATTTTTTGTTCTATTTTTTTTGTTCTATTTTTTAAAGAATTTCATGTTGACAGAATATTTTATAGCACTTTATACAGAACAAGAAATAAATAATGCCCTATTTTTTAAAGAAATGACTAGAACATAATTGCTAGGAATACAAAATGATCTCTTTTCATCCTCCAACTAGTCATTTTTAGATTCTATTTACAGTCCTCTGTTATTTAATCCATGTAAGTACTGAAGACTCTAAGGAACGCCTACTAATATTTCAATTAGATAATTATTTCTAAAAAAGACTTTGGTATAACAATGAGCTGTCCTATCTCTAAATAAAAAGTTCTATTTCTGAAACTTAAGGCCTGGATATTGGCTCTCCCCAAAAAACATGATGACAATAACTGGTAGCAGTGGTGATACATTATTTATACAGTACAAAAGGGTAAATGGGTGTATAAAAGATCAAGCCCAAGCTATTAAAAGTAACGTTATTCACTCAGAATCCATTTTCATGGAAATTCCAATATGAAGAACTTGCTGCATACCTGACTAATCCTAGCTGCTTAGATTCTAAGCTTTTGTGATGTTGATGTACTCTAGTAACAGGACTGAAGAAGTCAGAAGTGTTTTAAGCATGCCATTCTGATGTGTTCCAAAACATTTCAAGACCCAAATACATGAAGCAACAAGCAAAAAGTTAAAGAACCTACTTGTGGCTTAGAAATTCATACTGACATTTCCACTAGTTCTCAAATCAGATTAATCATGTGTCCACTCAGGTGTAGGGCCAAAATATGGGAAGGAAAATTGGTGAGTATATGAGGCATACCTCCCACATCTTGAGGTGATGCTCAAGTGCTTGAAAAAAAGTTCATGTATTGATTGAAATAAAGGTTCCAAAGTAAAAGCTGCTTTGGTCCATCTAGTATTACTATTATATATCATAAATAACTTCCAAACAATATTTTTTTATGTTGGCAATTGTAGAGTTACATATACTGTGCATTTCTAACTGAACCTGTTATTTGAAAATCTTAGTTCAAAATATTGACTGGAATAACAGCTATGACTTTGCATTCAGGAGAAAGGATTCACAGACAGTGAAAGGAGAAAACCAATATTTTTGTCAAGAGATTTTCATTTCTAAATCTCTCATATATTCAGAATTGGACAATAGTAACACAATAAATTTTACCCAAGGCCAATGAAAAATAAACCTGCTTCTTATCATTTTGAACACTAGAATCCCCCCAAATATTGAAAAAAATATATTCATATTGAACGCTAGGAGCAATTTCCTGATGGAAGAGAGCTTTTAAGTAATGGAACAGTCTAGTAGAACAATACTGGACTCAAACTATTCTCCAAAGCATCTAAAGGCAGGACAAGAAACAATGGATAGAAACTAATCAAGGAGAGAAGCAACCTAGAACTAAGGAGAAATTTCCTGACAATTAGAACAATTAATCAGTGGAACAACTTGCCTCCAGAAGTTGTGAATGCTCCAACACTGGAAGCTTTTAAGAAGAGACTGGACAGCCATTTGTCTGAAATGGTATAGGGTTTCCTGCCTGAGCAGGGGGTTGGACTAGAAGACCTGCAAGGTCCCTTCCATCATCATCACCACCACCACCACCACCACCACCACCACCATCATCATCATCATCATCATCATTATTAAATTTACTGGAGATTTTCCAATGACAACTGAACTTTTCTGAGAAATCTAGTGGATTCTTGCAGTGAGTAAGGTTTAGATTAAATGACCTGTAAAGTTCCTTCCAATTGATATAATCTATGTTTCTATAATTCTATAATTTGGAAACATGTTTTGGAATTATTCCTACCTTGCTGTAGTCGTTTAAGGATTATAATTGCACATATATGACTCTAATCATAAATAAAACATGAATTCCGAAGACTTAAAGGAAGCAGTGCATTCAAAAGATGTTCATTAAAAGCAGCCAGGGCCTCTTTAAAATCAATTGTTGCCTTATCACAATCATGGTTACAAATGACCTCAGGTGCTGACACTGTAAAGAGGAAATTCCGGTTTTCTGTAATACATGCTGATACTCCCAATGAACTCAGTAACCATATACAAAGTTCATAACAGGTACCGATTCCTCTGCTCTGCACAGGCAGCATGTGTGGTGCTTCTAGCCACAGAGTTATTTCTTCTTATATCACTGTGAAAAGTACCCAAACCAGGAAAATTATTTTATTTATTTATTCCCTGCCTTTCATTCCAGAGCTCAGAGCAGTGTTCATAGCACTATCTTGTCCTATTTTAATCCATAACAACTTTATGAAGTAGATCGGGATGAGTGAACTTCCATGGCTAAGATGTCTCCCTTCTCCATCCAACCTTATAAGCAACCCCCATCAGTAATGGTATAACCAGTGCTTTTTTTTCTTTAAAAAAAAAAAAAAAAAAAAAGATGCCGGAACTCACACATATCATACAACCCACCTTGCCTCCCCTACAAGGTTCCATCCAAAAAAGGTGCCGGAACTCCATTCTGGGCGTTCTATGAGAAAAAAAGCCCTGGGTATAACTATAAAAGTACTGTAAAGTAACAACAAATCATATACAAAAACACGTGTCTTTCATGACACTCAAAAATCTGCTCATAAATTGGCCTCTCTCCCCTAGGAATAGACCTGGTCCTATTATTTCACTTGATCTGTATAACATTTCCAGGAAAACTGCAAAGATGGATAAATAGTACATAATACATTACTTAGCTATAAGAACAGGAAAGCTTATGCTAGACCAATGAAATTAAATGGTCACATTTCTAGAAACCATTATGTGAATAAACAAATAGTATATTTTCCTTCTGTATCAAGCGGTTAGAAAATAATATTAACGTCTCTTTTTTCCCTCCTCTTTCATGATCAACATAACTGTTCAGATAGGTCAGACTCAAAATTTAACCTTAACTTTCCCACCTGTATAAACAGCACGAAAAAAGAATGTTTAATCCAGTGATACTTGGTTGCCACCTAACAGTGATTTGGCTTCTTTCAGGGCCATTTCATATACTGCAAAATATTGACAAAAATGAATTTCTGTGTAAGAATTTACCCTGCTCTACACAATGCTATAACACAATATGATATCCAAGAAATGTGTTCAATTTCACCTCTCATAAATCTCTCAGCCAGTATGATAGATGGAGTTGAAATGAAAATTTGAAGGGAGCCAATCTGGGAAAGATTGTATTAAGTGTGACCATTCCTTATATTGTGTGCATACATTGCTGCATATATAGTGTATTCTCATGCTTTGATTTATACCAGAATTGTACAATCTGCAGAAACAAGGTCATATGTGTCCCCATTACACGTGCCTTTTTCAGCCGTTATTGGGCTGAATTATAATTTTTCAATGTGATGCAGAAAGGAATATATTAATTATGAAATAAAGGAGAAGTGGGGATGATTTCTTATCAATCATAACCACTGCTATTGCTACTAATAACACCTTAACCACAATGTGGTCTTTTTAATTCTCTCTCTCTATTTTTTACTTAAAAGTCCTTCAGTATGCAATCAAAATGTTTATGTATATAATATATTTTTGTATATAATATATTTATATATATATAATATATTTATATATATATATAATATATATATTTCCAATAGCTAGAGGACTTCAATCGAACACTGTCTTTGTTGTCCTACTAAGTGTGCTCCGCTATCCTTGGCTAACATTCATTTTCTGTTGGAACTAGTTCTTAGGGTTTTTTTTTTCTTCAAGCATATCAAATGTAACATAGGTCATATTGACCTCTGACTCAATTTAAATAGTCAAATGTGCCAGGTAAGCAGTTTGTGCTTATCGTATCTGAATGAAACAGATTCCACTTTGGTAGGAATGCAAATAATCTAATGTGAACAAGGCATTCTGAAATGATATCAAAAAGCAACATCAGCTGCATAAACCAAAAATATCTGATATCCACAACTGACGTTATGCCTTTTATTAGGCCAACTGGAGTCAGAAGAAATGATTGCAGCAAGTTTTAAAGTTCCCACAATTTTACTAGGCAAGGGGTAGGCCATGGGTAGGCAACCTTGGCTCTTTCATGACTCGTGGACTTCATCTCCCAGAATTCCTGAGCCTGCCATGCTGGCTCAGGAATTCTGGGAGTTGAAGTCC